CACTTACTCACTAACTCACTCAGTGATAGATAAACATAAAGAGGGACGCACAGCATCACTGACTGACTAACTGACTGACTAAAATTTTTGCTTTCTAACTCACTCACTGACAGACAGACAAATAGAGGAACGCACAGCATGACCGACTGATTGACCGACTGACATACTTACTCACTAACTCACTCACTGACAAACAGACAGACAAATAGAGGGAGACGCACAGCATGACTGACTGACTAACTGACTCACTGACTGAATGACTAACTGAGTGGATCTGATCCGACTGAGTGAGTGAATGACTGACTAACTGACTAAATGAATGGCTCAGTCACTTTTTCAATAACTCACCCACTGACAAACTGAAAAAAAAAAGGGACGTACAGCATGACTGGCTAACTGCCTGAATAACTAACTTAACTGACTAAATAACTGACTGGCACATACAACCTGACTGATAAGTTTGAGAGCAGAACAATCAAAATGAACAATCAAAATCAAAATGACTGGCTCAACTACAGACTGACTAACCAGTTTATGGCGGAAAACCCAAAAACAACTCTCGATCAGATAACAGGCTAGCTGACTGTCTAACTGACCCACCCATCAGTAGACTGACCAACCGACTTGCAGCGTGGTGAGATAATTACTCAGCGCGATGACATACAGACTGTCTGTGTCATTCATGAGGTAACGGTCAAGCTTAAAAAGAGCAAACTAGTTGAGATTAGCTGACTCTATGGCCAACTGAGCAACTAATCGTTTGGCGGACAGAATTGACAATTAACCTGTTGACTACATTATTACCAAATGACTAATCAATTTGTTGACTAAAATGAATTAATTTATAATGATAATTGAATAACATCCTGGTTGGCTGACCTCCTTTTAACTGACAGACGGACTACCACGTTATGACCGACAAAGTAGATGACGAACTATTTTTCACTTTTCCTAACACGTTACACGCTTTAGGAGCGCTTTTCTATTGACTATTAAGTAATCCAAACAGCCAACCTGAAGAGAGGAAAATACCCTGAGGAGCCAATAAGAACTCAAGAAAAAAAAACGCCTTTAAGAGTCCGGGCGACCAACTCGTGATTGGTGTAGTTTTGCATTTGATTGGCTGAGAGAGTGGAGCGAGTTTTCTGGACCAATCACAGAGCAGAATAAAGCAAAATCAGTTCAATCCCGGATTGCTTTCGACACCCAATTTAAATTTTCTCTATGAACTACAAAACAAGACGTACATCAAAGCAAGCTAAATCTGTAAATTGACAAATAAGGAAGTGAGTAATCATGTAACTAAACAACTGACCTGTTTCAAGAGCCATATCAACTGATCGACTCGGTGCAGTTTATCGCTAACTAAAAATACGGGCTGACAAACAAAGACGTGAATCATTTCGTAGGTTAGATAGAACACATACAGACACAAATGGATGGGTAAAGAAACAAACATACGGGCAGATATCACAGACCAGCCAACAAGAAGACAGACAATCAAGAGACAAATGACGACAAAATAGATTTGTTTTTGACGTTTGTTAGTCAAGAAACTGACAGAACTTTCACAATATGTTCACTTTTGTATGAAAAATCCGAGGAAAGTGATTATACACTGTTGGTATAACTGTTCATCAGAGCATGCAGATGAACTATGTGTAAGTTAATTATAAGGCCATGTTTGAGTTTGCTACTGAGGGATTAGCTTATCCAACAAATTCTGTCAAACATGTGACTGGCATAAAACGGCTTTCACTAGCACACCACCTATAAACTAACTGACCGCTTGACTGACGGACTGACGGACTGATGGATAGAAGGACTGACGGACTGACGGACTGAAGGAATGATGGACCCACGGACTAAAGGACTGACGGATTGAAGGGGAGATGGCATGATGGAGAGAAGGACTGACGAACTTACGGACTGATATACTAAAGGAGAAATGGGCTGACGCACTTACGGACCGAAATGGAGAATGACTGACTGACTAACGTATTCACGAACTGACGGCAAGGAGGCCTAACGAACTTACTGACTGATTGACGGATGGGTTTACGGACATAGGGACTGCCGGATTCAAGGACATAGGGACTGCCGAATTCAAGGACATAGGGACTGCCGAATTCAAGGACATTGGGACTTACTGACTAACCAACTGACCGAGAGAAGGAGTGACTAATTGACGGACTGACAAACGGATATCGACTGACTACATGCCTCACGGACAAATTAACCGATTCATTGACTGACTGACGTTGAAAGACTAAGGACAAACTGCCTCAGTGTAAGACTGCATAACTACACTTATTAGTTCTAAACTTACTAATTCACTGGCCGAACTGATGACCAATGGACTGACTGCGAGAGAGGGTTGAAGACGGAAATTGACTCACAGACAATGATACTAGTCAAAGGGTGTCTGGAAAATGACGATTGAAACTATTTTCTATATTTGTTTCAAGTAGTCGAGAGGTTTTCATAAGGTCATCGCATGAGCTTTTTTGTGACTAAAACCTGACTTGGTTAATATCGTATTGCTTTAAAGAAGTCATAAATTTCTAAGAGCGAGCTTGTCTAACAAGCAACGACAACGGGTATATACTGAAGAGTGACAAGGTAGCATACTTGACTGCCTTTATGTTTTAACAATGACTAAAGGGCAAATCAATTAGAAACTAATAGTATTCGAGTATTAAATACAGGCTAATGGCACACGCACTTACTCTGTGATTATTCTAGCAACTGTTGTGGCTGATCAAGTTACTAACTGCCTTTTGTTTGATTAGCCACGTGACTGATTCTCTGAGTAATTTATTGACTCGCTATGGGAATGTCTGACTTAACATTTGACTAACCTATTGACTGACTGAATGACTGACTGGCTAACAGTTTTACTGACTGACTGAGTGGGTAGACGATTGACTGATGACCGATTACCTGACAGAATAACGGAATGGTTCATTACTGTACGATGAAACTGACTGACCGATTAAATGATTGGCTGACTGATTTTCTGACTGACCAACTGACACACCAGCTTATTGGCTGGCCAACATACTTACTGAATGACTGACAGGACAGACTGACTGACTGGTAGACAGAACGACTAACCGACCGACCGACTGACTGAACAGAGTTTAAGTAACCAATGCACTGGCTGAGCAACCAAACTTGAAAATGTCAAAAGGTTTTAATATAAACAGAAACGTGATTCGAGTTTGTCAAACAATGAGTCTACTTAACAGATGAAACAAAGAGGCCAACTGACGGTCAATGCAACGATCGAGGAACCGTCGGACAGAAAGACAGACGAAGAGACAGATAGACAGACAGACAGACAGACAGACAGATAGACAGACATAGACAGACAGATAGACAGACAGATAGACAGACATAGACAGATAGACAGACAGATAGACAGACATAGACAGACTTAGACAGACAGATAGACAGACATAGACAGACAGATAGATAGGCAGACAGATAGACAGATAGACAGACAGGTAGACAGACAGATAGACAGACAGATAGACAGACAGTTACTGACCAACTGAACGACCAATGTTGTCAGATACGACTGTCGATCGCAAGTAGGTTGCAGGACTGACTGACTGACTTGGTGAACCTGGCCTGTCTGAGGACTTTCTGTCCTAGCGAATTGATGACTGAATGAATTTCTGAACAACTGAGTGGATGAAAACATAGAGACAGTCACTCCGAACAACTGACTAACTTACTCTCTTAATTCATAAAGCCCAAAATACGAAATGAAATTTACGGTCCTTTAAAAGTATGTATGTAACAAGTATAACAGCTGATATCGGATCCAGGAGTAAATGCAACCGAAAAAAAGGCAAAACAAAAAAACACTAACAAACAAAAAACGAACATCGTGTATAAATGTGAAAAAAGTACTAGTGCCCAGCAGCCTTTTAAGTGCTTCATTTGTTAATACTATTGACACGGATTTAAAAGTTAATTTAAAAAAATAAATTATCTTTAGCTATTATTAAGACAGATGTAAAGGACAAAGCGAAGAACTGTACATAAGAACTCATAACTCTACATAGTTCACAACTGAAGAATAATATTCCTGGTAGACTGACCATAATCGAGTTTCACGTCACTTTTGATTACAAACTTAGAAATCAAATCGCCGCTTAATCGCCAGCGTTTCATTTTGCGATCCAAAGAAGAAAAGCTACCTAAAAATTAGTTATCTAGGATTTAATGGTAGAAAAATGCACTATGTTTCATCGGTTACAAGCCTCAAACTACGCTGATGAAAGTCAAAGTTTTCCGGCCCAGGTTAACAACAAAGTCTTAACCATTTTCACCGTGTAACTTTATTCATGCATGCTGTAGATAAAATTGTGTGATAGAACGTTTCTCGATTTAGTGTCGTAAATCCAAAACCAAAGTAATTGCAACGGCCAATCAGAAGAAAGGAAAACACCTTGAAGAGCCAATAAGAACTCAAATTTATAAAAAAAATCCGCCAAAAGCGCGAGCGACCAAGTCGTAATTGGTGTTAGTTTTGCATGTGGTTGGCTTAGAGAGTAACGAACCAACCACAGCCCAAAATAATGCAAAACCAGTGCAGTCCCGGATTAACTTCGACACTCAGTTGAAAATTGTTCAATGTTAACCACTGGGTTTTCTGAAGGTAAAAATAGTAAAATAGTTATTTTGACATTCTTAGATAGTAGTTACAAAAAATACTAATTGTAACTAGTTTAAAAATATTATGACACATGTTTGTACACTATCCTCCATAAAACAGTGATAGCACATTTACACAGTTTGTGAGTCACATTTTCCCCAAACCATCTAACCATCTACCGTAGGTACGCGCGGCACTACTGAATAAAGCCGCGGTGCATTATTGTTGATAAATGCAACAACAGAAAGGATGAAATCATTGAATGCGCACGCCCAACAAGTTGTCGTTCGACTTAACCCTTTTTACCCTGACATAAGTATGCATATTCTCCATACTGTTCTCTGTACATTCCCTAAGGTGCTGACAAGGAGAATTTGTTTAACAATCAAGGGCTTCTTTAGTTGGTGATCATTTCCTTCATTCTCCTGACCTTAATGTTTGCAGGGGTGATATTGTAAGGAGAAATTAGAAACAAGTCACTCTAGAGCATATGTTTTACCTTGTTTATTCAACAGAGAGGAGCACAATGAACGTATGAAAAAAAACTAACAATTTCAGTTTAATTTTATTCACAAAACAACTTTCACTTGATCACAAGTTTAGGAAGCCTAAGGCTTCAATTTAAATGTACAACACTAACAATTTTACATTTATTCACAACGGCGAAAGTCAGATGTTTGTTGTCATGGTAACATACCCTGAAACTATCGCCGATTAAGAATCCGGAAAGGCGACAATTAAGGAAGAAGCAGCCGTCATGTTAAATCACTTGGAACTAATCAATAGTGTCTGAGCTGAAAAGCAAACGTTGCGTCATTTCTTGTTAAACATTATCAGTGACAAAAGCAGAAATAGAAAATCAGCGTAGCACAGAAAAGGAAGCGACGATGGTTGAACCCTTTACAGCTTGACATTAGTGTCCATACTGTTCTCCATACGCGTTCTGTGCCGACAAGGAGAATTGTTTAACAATCAAAGAGCTACTTTAGTAGGTGCTTATTCTCTATATTCTCATGACTTTAATGCTTGATTCACGGGAGATATTGAAAGGAGAAATTGAATGCTAAACCACTCTACGGAGTTTCAGGGTCAAGATGAAGGAAATGAAGTTGGATTAATTTACAAAGTAATCAACTTGAGAAACTAACACAATGTTTGCTTATTTGGTCAGACTCCCTTGAACTGAAACCACCAAGAATAGAATTGGCATCTCCAAAGGAATTCTAAACATCAACTTTCTTTACAATCTTAAGACCAATCACTGACTGTACAAGTAACGAAATATATCTAAATTATTATTTCTTAAGCTACGTCCATATATCTGTGCTAATATTTACAAACTTTTTGGTTTTACGATGGCCAACAATTTAAAACTTAATATAATATATTCCCTTTGTTGGCAAACATAATGTGGCCACAAATTTTTGTTCTGTCATGCAACGCTTCTTGCCGTGACGAGCGTTACATGACAATCGTTGCGTGACAACTTCAATGACAGTTGCCTTAATTTTGAAATGCAGTAAATGGTTTGAACCCGGGGGTAACATGTGAAGGTGTAGTCTGATCGTCCGGGTGAGTGTAGTCCTGAGAAGGACTGTTGTCGGTGGCAGTGACTGACGTTTCGACAACCTGTGCGGAAGTCATCATCAGAGTCAAGTGAGTGATTGTTGTCAGTAGAATGTTCTTATTCCAGTTCCGTGTCAGTAGAATGTTCTTATTCCAGTTCACACGAACTGGAATAAGAACATTCTACTGACAACAATCACTCACTTGACTCTGATGATGACTTCCGCACAGGTTGTCGAAACGTCAGTCACTGCCACCGACAACAGTCCTTCTCAGGACTACACTCACCCGGACGATCAGACTACACCTTAATTTTGAAACTTAAGTTCAGAAACGTAAATGATAAATGATATGTTATAAGTTGATTTGTTTAATTTTAACGTGACGTTTAATTTATACCAGCGATAATTCAATAACGTTCGCGTCCTTTACTAAAATGAATTCCACTGAGCCGGCGAAGATGATTTCGCGCGAACGTTGTTGTAGTCCCAAATAAGTTACAAACCGTAATACAGTGGAACCCCGATATAACGATATGCCAAGGGAGCAGTGGAATTAGATCGTTGTATTGAGTTATCGTTATATCGAGACGGGGTTCTGTCCCATACATTTTACTGTAACTTTTTGCTGGGACATAGCATATTTACCGTTGTACCAGGAATATCGTTATATCGAGGACCGTTTTATCGGGGTTCCACTGAGTATTAAAGCCACGTGGAAAATGTGGAGTCGCTCAAGTACAAATTTAAATGGCTATTTACACAAATGACAGATTTAACACAATTACATGGTGTTCTAGATACAAATTTCAAAGAGGGCAGAAGTAGAACTTACATTGATGTAAAGTGCCCCTCTATTTAAATGACAAAATACTAAGAATGCATCCAAAATATGTGCTTGGTAAAAAACTAGCAAACAAAAACTCAGACGTCTTAATGATTATAACTTAAGAGGTATCTATAAAATGTGACACCGATATGAAAAGTGGAACTTAAATACACGTACTACTATTGTAAGTGTTGCTAGAGTTATTTGAAATACAAATGGTCTTTTCATTTTTTGTTTTGCAGTAAGTTACAGATTAAAAACAAAAACTAGGACGGGCGACTTACAGCACCCTTAGGCAACAAATGAAGCATTTTGCAAATTATTACTCCAGTGACATTTATAGATATCAAAATATGTTAGAATTTTTGACGTTAACGTAGAACTCACCACAACCAAAAATATTTTCAGGCGTATGTACTCCGTGCAGTTTTTAAACTGCCAAAAACTATCCACGCTTTTTTTTTAGTACGAAAATTAAACCATTATTTCCAATGCAAATTAAGAGCTTCACTCTATGGTGCAAACCATAACCAGCACGCATTGTACTTCATTTTTTCCATTCGAACACAGTCAGCTGATGCTCAAACCTGTTGAACAGGATTTCGGAAGAGGATGAAATTCTGTCCAACAGGTTATTTTTGTCGTCTAAAGTGTCAGCCTTCTCCTTGCGTAAATCCCGTGTGTCGCCCCACGGGGGACTGGGGAGAAGAGACAAATCTAAACAAGTTTGATTCAAAGAAACAAAATTTATCTGAGCTGACCATTTAAATTTCTGCCATATCTTTGTTTGAATAGGCAGAGACCAAGGCTGAGAAGAAACATCTTAAATCTCTGAATAACGCGAATAAATTATATTATATAATAAATTAGATTTTGTTTTGTTTTTCTCACATTATCAGTTTTAAGGGTTATGTTACAAAAATACAATCAGACCTTGCTTAACGTTGATTGATTCGTTAAATTTAAACATTATCCCTAATAGGAAATTAAACCCATCCAATTTCGGCTGACGGTTTTTGAGAACAAAACATTTCAGATGACGAGAAGTAACACAACCAGTTGGCCCTTTCAGGGTAGAGTCCCGTCATCCCTCCACCCTGAACTCAATCGTGGTGTCCTGCCCCCCCCTAACTTAAAGGGCAGGATGTGGAGACCACTGAGGGGGTAACAAGAACGGCCACTCTTTTGTTAGTGCTCCCATAGGTCTGAATGTCTTGGATACGCAGTTACATACCACACTGTAGGTTTATATCAAACTATATCTCCATTTCTAACCACAGGACTTGTCTCGTCATCATCATCCTCGTCGTAATCTACGCTTCCTCGTCCTTCCATATAGTTGACATTATTAAAATTTCTGTTCAAATTTCCCTTGAATATTGCTGGCTGTTTAGTATAAACACCATCTTCTGGTTTTACAATTATAGCTTTGTCGTCCGGTATATCTTGATCAGCAGTGTAGTGAATTCTAGAAATAAGAAAAAAACAACACTTAAAGACTATCATTTTAATCAAGAGATTCCAAGTAACCCGAAAAAGTTCCCCCAAGGACATAATATTCCTGGGATTATAAGTCCCTGTATAACTATAGACAGTGTCTTTAAGATATAATTGTGGCATGAGTCACTAGCAAGTAAAAAAAAAAAAAAAAAAAAAAAAGAAAAAGAAAAACGGCTGGGATTGAAAAGGTTATATAAGACAAGAAAAATCTGAACGGTAATTTACTGATGTTAAAAATTTAACTTACTCTAGTTTCGGTGATCGTTTTCTCCTTGCAATAATTAAAATGATGACAAACACGATCACAAAAAATACAAGAACACCAAACACGGCACCGAAAATAATTCCGTAGTTAGGTTTGCTATTGTGTTGTTCCTGGTATTGTATATCAGCTGGTTGAACAGTGCTGTAATTCACGCTGGCGGGGGATGACACAGTTGACGTTGACGATGACGATGGTACAGGAGCTGGTGGCGTAGCTGAACAATAACAAATAAATAACCAATCATAAGAACACGTCTCCTGAATACTTAAGAAGGCCCTTCTGTTTCTGTTAATTTTTTGCAGGCGTAACGAGTCAAATTCCTTCTACAACTGTCTATCCCCCACCTTCCACCCTTTCCATACAGACAGCATATGAACAAACAACAAACGAAAACATTAAACTTACTAGAGTTACATGTTTTGCCATCAGCTTGAAGATAAAGCCCGTTAGGGCAGCTGCAAGTAAACTTCTTCGCTCCCGACGACAAAAGGCAAAGATGCGAACAGTTTCCGTTGTCTTTTGAACAAGGCGTAACAACTGAAAAGAAAGATAATAAGGAACAACTTGATACTCCAATCAAAACCTTTTAATCATCACAAACGTATAACACTATCGCCAATAATAAGCCAAACTCGTTGTAGCTGTTAAACGAGGTCTACGGGGCGCAGATACGGGAGCCCCTAAGGTGCCTTACAGCCCGCCACTGAGACGCCACATTTTCCCTGTTACCATCCAAGTCTCTCATCATTGCGATAATGCGTTTAACTGCGATTCAGATGCACACGTAGCAAAATCAAGTACGCGTTCAAGTTAAGATCAAAAGTAAGAATTATTTTTTGCATACCAAGTGGTTGTCTTTGTGGATGATATATGTGCAAATCTCTGGGTGATTCAGCCTGATTCACAAGAACTGTCACATTTTTTCCGGTAAACTTGTTGGCCTTGACGATGTTTCTCTGATCAATCCAGTACATGTGATCCTCAAACACTGTGATGGCAGAAGGATCCTGAATACCCTGGTTCATTACCTCACGCACATTGGAGCCGTCCATATCACAGTGCTTAATAACCTTCAGTTTGGCGTCGATCCAGAACAGCTTCTTTGTAGTATAGTCAATAGCTAAGTCGACCGGCCATTCAATATGGTTTCCACTTATGAGGATTTTTCGATCGCTACCGTCCATGTTTGCACGTTCAATTTTTGCCGGGTCACCCCAGTCTGTCCAATATAAAACCCTGAGAAGCAAAGGTCAGAAATATAACACTTCCTAACAAAATGCTAAACACAACGATTTAGGCCCGCAGTTCAATTTTTGGTGGTATGGTTGTCACGCGACATATCTCCTCCGAAGACACGGTAACGATTGCGTCACGATCATAAAATGCTGAACGCTTAGAATACTTATTGTACCGTCACACAGCCTTTGTAATGCTTTTTTTTTTTGTTTTTTGTTTTGGATTCGAAATTGTAAATGGTAGTGGATTTCTCTTACCCTTCAACGGGGTCCACGGCTATAGCGCTTAATTTCTCGATGCCGTCGTTAATCAAAGTGTGACGGAAAGAACCATCCATTTCGGAGACTTCGATAGAACCACCTTCACTGCCCCAATAGATTTTCCTTCCGACCCAGTCCACCGCGATGTGGGATGAATATTCCAATCCTTCTTGCATGACGTTTACAATTTTGGGAGCAGCATTCTTATCAAAGCGAGCCCGCTGGATTTTCTTCAGAGACTGCTCTGTCCAATAGATCATACTTGTTTTAAAATCGAAGTCCAAAGAAACGGCATTCGTAAGTTGAGCGATTGCTTCTTTGTAATGGGAGCCATCTGTCCTGATCTGACGAATATTCCTGCGATTGCTGAAGATCAACGATGGACGGGGACCTGACAAAGACACCAGACATTATTATCCGTTTATACCCTAACATTACAGTCCATACTCTCCATAATGTCCTCTTCGCATTTTTAAGGCACTAGCAAGGATTTGGTGATTATTTCCTTTATTTTTATGATGCATTCATACCAGCGGGTGGCAGTGTAATGGCAGTGTATCACCAGGATGTCAAAACAAACTCCGCGGTAGATAAATTTGTGTTGTACATACCTCGAGTAGCACGGCACTTCCTGCCGTCAGGATCCAGCTGATAATTTTTAAGACATGAACATTTAAATCCTCCTTTCAAGTTGTGACAGATTTGGCTACACATTCCCGGAATATCGCACTCATTGATGTCTACAAAAGACAATAAAAATATTCAAGTCAGTGTTCTGAAAAATCAGAAAAACTATTTGAGGTAGTCATTTAAAGAATTGCTGTTTTTTTCCCATTTTTTAATGATTTAAGCCCAGAGAATGCAGCAAGAAAAAAAAAATAGATTTATATCTTTCATGTGTTACATTGTAAATTGAAGTTTCTATTCCAATCAATGCTTGTTCTGATACATTTTGGTTTATTAAACACTAAGCGATAATCGTGCCTTGAGACATCTGATTGATTCGCTAATATTTTCCTCTTTCGTTTCCAAGCTCTTACCTTGGCAACTCTTTTTGTCATCCGCTAGTTGATATCCAGGTCTACACGAACAGTGGAACCCAGTCTTTGTGTCGTGGCAAAAATGCAAGCAATGACCATTGTGATCCTTGCATTCATTGATGTCTAAGAATGAAATAAAAAATATCAGAAGAATTGATGGAAAGTGTTCTAAAACAACACCCAAGCAATTCTGGATTAACTCAAGACACCACATTAAAACTCACGTAAATACAGGCGCCATGTTCTTATACTTACCGCAGTTATTTTCATCCTCTCCATGAGGGCAATCAGGATGTCTGTCGCAGACTTTGCTATCACCAATACAAACTGAGCTGCTGCCACAGCGAAATTCGCTAGCTTTGCACACTGAAGTGGTTTCTGTACAAAATTAATAACAACAAAATACCCTGAATGCACGGTACTTTCTTTCTAAGACTAACTTTGTTGCCGGAGAAATCGAGATTGCATTAAATTCATAGCTTTAAATTGATCGTTAGACTTTAATTTTAAGTGCATGCTTTAGATAAACAGCGCAATGCCAAAAATTACCTTAAATATTCATTTCTTAACATAACGTTTGTTTACTAAAAAGCAAATCATTTACGATGTGGGTCTTTATTTTGCCTCGATCGTGTTGAGCGCAAAGCTTTTAGACAGCATCGCATTTCCAGCCAGCTTTTGTACTTACTATTAGAGTGACCTAGCACATCAACTGTTGAGCCTGGCCGCGACGACGCATGTGTAGTTGTTGGAGGTTGGGTAGTAGTACTTACAGACGGGGTTGGAGAAGCTGGGAGTAGGAAGACAATAGCCCAAGATCAATTAGTACATTATAAAGAGAAGGAACAGTTATTTATGGCTGTGACAATGGGTGAACACAATGTAAACACTTTATCTTTGCTCATACTAGAGCACGACCGCGGAAGTCAAACGGCAAACTGCACCAGTACCTCATGCTAAATACTGCGATGTCAAGATACTCAGTACTCAAGTATACATTCACTGATATCTGTCTAGGTTTTTTATTGTAAGTAGTTTAGTATTCTCATTGTTGTAATGTTCGTTGATGTGATATAATGAAATCTTATGTGACGTAATGTGATATCATGTGATCCAGTGCGACGTAATCTGATGTCATGTGATCTAATGTAATGTAATGTAATGTAATGTAATGTCATGTCTGTGATCTAATGTAATGTAATGTCACGTCATATGTAATTTTATATAATCCGAGTGCTGTTACTAATGTAATTAGTACAAATCATTGACAACATTTAAGCAGAATAGAAACAAAAATTACATCTCAAAAGATTCTGACGTAAAAGCCAGCTAGCTTCAAAGCAAAGTTCAGTAGGCTTCGTATCAAGCCACGTGGGTAGGGCATCACAGCCCGTGTATGTTCCCAGTGCATTAGCGGTTAGTGGATGACATAGCATTTAAGGTTATGTTAAATACGTGCACATGCAACGATAAAGAGTGTTGAAATTAAAAGGCATGATCAGAACAGGGAACAAACAAGATGAAAGATAGTACAAAAGTCATCAATGAGTTGGGGAAAACTGGAAAAGAAGGCAAGTGGCTACGTTCAACAGATCGAGAGAAAAAGTGTTTACTGCTACTTTATAATTGACTGTCATCATACGATGAGGGAAAGATAATTTATTAAAAGAGTTTATTTTCAAGACTCGTAGGCTACTGTCATATATTCTTGGTTATCTTAAGTGTTTGGCAAATTATGAAAAGGCGATAGTTTATTTGACAAGGATTGCATTTTGATATCGCGGGAACCATTTACTCGAGATCATGAAGAATTTAAGTGACTTTACAAGCTCTAGTGGTCATTTCGACCTTTCAGTTTGCAGTTATTTTAGTGACGCTTAAGATCTTGTAAATGAATGCGCAGCTTAACTTAATGAAAAAGCGATAGTTTATTTGACAAGGATTACATTTTGATATCGCGAGAATCACTTACTAGAGGCGATAATGGAGAATTTAAGTGACTTTACAAGCTTAAGTGGTCATTTTACCTTTCACTTTACACTTAATTAAGTGACGCTTACGATCTCGTAAATGCAAGCGCAGCTTAACTTTTGAGACAGGCGTTGCTCGAATTCTTACTAAAGGCGCCATAATCTAGTGCGAGGCTTGTGCCAATTGTGTCCCTGGTAAAAGCATGGCCGTGAAATTGCAGTGCAACATTTCTCAAGTAAGGTCGTAGTAGTAGCAAGTATGATAAATATTGTAAGAAATAGACAACTTTTTTTGAGACAAGTTTCGGCATGCTTATGCCATCTTCAATCAACGAGTAACTGAACGCGAGTAATTTGAAGATGGCATAAGCATGCCGAAACATGTCTCTCAAAAAAAGTTGTCTATTTCTTACAATATTTCTCAAGTAATTCGAGAGATTTTCGAGCCAAGATTTGAGGAAAGACTGGGCCGAGTTCCATCAGTTTAGATACTTACGACAATTCCTCTCGTCACTTTCATCACCACAGTCATCGTTGCCATCGCAACGCTGTACTGAGGGAATACACTGTTGATTGTCACATTGGAATTCCTGAGGCGTGCAACCAATGTTGCCTAAAACCAAAACCATAAAAGGGTTAGAGAAGGAAACCTAAGAAACAATTTTCCCTGGAAAATCAAAACCCTGGAAATCAGAAAACATGAACATTAATCTTTTTGTTACCACAACTTGATTCATCACTTCCATCTCTGCACTCAGCTGTTCCGTCACAAATCCATTTTCGGTGAATGCATTGACTTCTGTCGTTACATAGCCATTCATTTATGCGGCATTTAGGTGGGGGAGGAGTTGGTCGAGTAATAACTAGAATGCAGTGAAGTAAAAAATAACAAGTTACGAACTGAATTCAAAGGTTTTTGAGCTAATCTCAGCTCACATTCTGTTTGTAATCGTTTCTATGGGGGAAAAAAAAACTTACCAGATGAATTACAGCCATGTTCGTCTGAGCCATCCACACATTCTCGCCTTCCATCACATCTGTACAAACCACGGATACATCGTCCACTCTCCACACAGCGAAACTGGGATGGATCACATGAGGCCTTGTCTGTTCAGATATGACAACAAGAAGGTATCAGTAGCGCTCAAATTGAAAAGATAGTGCTACTGGTCTCTATTTATCGTTTGAGAGGAGGGGGGAGGCGAAGAAATGTTTTGGGGGTCACATGGTTTTCAGGGGTAACGAAGGGGGTTAAGTCGTCATCAACACAGTATAAAAGGGGGGGCCTATAGAAAATTGACTGCTAATTAATTGCCAATGAAGGGGGAAGGTTACAAGAATATAAGAGAGCCTTATGTGGGGATCCGGTAAATTTTATCGTGGTATAGTCAAAATCTTTCGACTCCTTTCCCCCTCCCACACACCTCAGGTGATATGTAATGATCAGTCCCTTATCAAAATAAAAGACTCCAACAGAACGTTTTTCAAAATTATCCCTAAGTCGAGGAAGCATTTGACAGCAACTTACGGCAATTGCGTTCGTCACTCCGATCGCCACAATCGTCTTCCATGTCGCAGAGGAAATCGTTAGACACGCATCGCAAACCATTGGCACAGCGGAACTCCGTAGATTTACACTTGACTGCAAAATGGATAAAAGAAAACGTTGGTGGTCATTACCAAGTGACAAGCAAGGCGTGACAAAAAAAAAACAAACAAACAAATAGACAAAACGGTTCACGATTTTAAGTAACAAGAGGTTTCACTCACGGGAACCACAATTCTGCTCATCACTGTTATCACCACAATCATTTTCCTTGTCGCATCTCAGTTCTGCTCCTATGCAGATTCCATTAGCGCATGTAAAGTCACTGGAGCTACAAGTGCGCGAAACAGAGGCTGAAAAGAAGATGACCGGCAAAATCAGTGGAACGATTCTAAGAAACCATGATGTCTTCTGTACAATTTACTACCAAGAGATTTTTTCATCTGAAGTAGAAAATAATATTTTAATTGAAACAGAACAAACTAAAGAGCAAAAATGTTGTGCTAGATAGCCAGAATGTCGTGGCGCTACGTAACCACACAAACAGTAGGTTACCCCCCTTATCGAAGTGGCTATCCTTTCAAAATCACATTTTAAACTTAAGCCCACAACTTTGAAAGAGGGAGAGGGGCGGGGTGTGTATGTTCAAGCTACGCCTTACATGTTTTGTGGTTATTTGTCACGCGAGATGGATACTTCGTCTCGTAAATGTCGTCAGATATTCTTCACCTTTTAAATCTACAATCGCGTACATTACAATCACATCGTACTGCTACGTTCTCAACTAGGAAAATTTATAAAACCGTTACTATTTTTAGGGTTCTGACCAAGCAGTTCAGAGGGTTCCATTGCCAGTTCGCGTGATCAGAACAAGGGAATGATCTAATGATCGGAGTGACGTAACGATTGATCACTGAGGGGGAACTGCCACGTCATCTGATATGGAATGAATTTCTCCCAAACGAATACAAACAGATGTATGTAACGTGTTAGGAGAATCTGAAAATACTTACGACAACGAGGTCCACTATCAGTAGCTTCATCACTTCCATCTTTGCAGTCGTTAGCGCCGTCACAAACCCAACTAGTGGGTATACAAGTACCGTTTGTACATGTGAACTCGGTTTTTGGGTCGCACAAGCGAAGACCTGTGAAGAAAACTCGATATCTTACTGATCGAATTACGTAACACAGAGAAACAAAAAATTAAGGACACGTAGATTATCTACAAATTACGTGATCCGTTGGTCTTATCAGCATCAAAATCTAAAACTGACGTCAACTTTCTACCCGCTAATTATCTCCCTGAACAGGCACGCACGTCACTGGTTCAACGGCTACCTTAACGGATGAACTAGACCGTACAGTACTCGACACACCAGTCTTGACGCGCGCGACGAGGCGTGAGTCACGCACGTTACGATAGCACACGCAGGAAGAGTGGCGTGTTTAAAATGCATTTTAGAAATACCGCTAAGCTCATGGAAAATACTTCAAATCATAAGCTTGAAAGGGTGGAAGGGTCAATTGACTGTGGGTGTTTTATACATCCAATTAAAGATGAACAGATAGACTGCTAAAAATGGATAACCGTTTACAATTGAGCTGAAACAGAACGCTGAAAGTTCAAGAAATGGGCAGTATCAAGGAGACAGAGTTAAAAAGACCAAGTCAGTTCCGTTCTGATGATTGTCCACTTTGTACAAAAACTTGAGTTGGAGGGGGAGGGGTTACTCTACAAATCAAATTTAAAATTCTCGAGATGAAAAACAACACCATCCTTTCCTTTCAACAGTCAAAGACATGATTTCAAGAATTCACTTCCAGGGGAGACACTTATCACCTGAAACGTATGTTGTGTCTCAATTACATTTAAGCTTTGTTTTTTCCTGTGGGCCCGTTAGTGTGGGGGATGCAAGGGTAACGAGTGCAACATGTTGAGGATAAAACTGTTTATAAGCAGTGCTTACCATAGGAAAAAAAAAGTCAACTTTGAAGAACAAACCAAAAGAGAGCTGCAGTTCATTTACTTTCAGTTGCGCTATCAAATAACTACAATAGCTGTTTTTTTTTTTCCAAATTACCTATTGAGAGAATAAGTGAATTTATTCACTGTTATAAGGATGAGGTTAAAAACAGTATTTTTTTCTCCAAAAGCAAAATGCACGAAACGGAAATATGAAGGAAATACCTAACAGTATTATATAAATCACCCAAGTAAATGACTTAAGTGCAGACGACCATCAAAACAGCCTGTAACATAAACTCTCAAGTAAAAGGGAATGTGGACTGGAGTGGCCATCACATTATTTTTAATATCAGAGCATGTTAGACTGTCAAGAACCTTTTCCGTTCTCTTGAACTGATTACCCTGGAGGAAACAATAAATTTTCCATAACATCATGACTGTCTCAATTTTACTTTAGATCGTTTTAGATTTAGAAATTAAATCACATTACCGCTGGATAGAGCTGCACATTCTTCCCAACTTTGCTAATTAAAACATCCAAACAACTATTTCAAAATGAATGGAAGTTCCACAAGACATAGCTAAAGGGAAATATCAGAGCTCATAAAATCTAATCTAGACATTTTGGGTTTAAGCCCTTAAGGCTCAGGGCCATGTGTTGTGTTCCTAGATAAGACACTTGAATCCCACACTTCCCCTGTTTCCACCCAAAAATATTAACTACAATCAGCAAACTGGTAGGGGAAGCAACAGAATGTTGGAAAGTTAGATGCATACCATTCAGAGGGAGTAAAAAAAATTACTCTTGTAGCTCACCATTGCAGAAATTGGGGGATGGGTACCCGCAGTTATAGGTTGAAATGTGCTCACAATAATTTTAATAATATACAATGGCAAGAAAAATTTCATAAAATACAAGAAATCTGTGGTTTTGTTTCAAGTACACTGATTAGTTATGGGGAATATATAAAGCTTAGTGTTTCTAAAGGTACAACTGAAGGTAGATTTGTGAGGATGATTACTATATTGGCATAAATAAATTTTTCCCAGTTGTTTATCTTTCTTATCTACTTCAGTCAAAAATAATACACACTCATTGTTAGCAAAGAACAAAAGAATACTCTTGTGGTCAACCCCTCTCATGCCCCTTCAAAAGAAAAACAATCGCACAAGAAAACAAACTGCTTTTGCTTTTTAATGCTTAAATCTGCTACTTCCATAACAAAATTTCCTAACATTTTCAGGTCAGTAATTCAAATGACATCTAGAGATTGTCACAGAGAGAGTAAGGTGTTGAGCCCTGAGAAACATCTTGTAACATTGACTTAGCAAAAGATGAGTTATGCAACAACAGAGTTATGCAACAACAGAGTCATGCTAGACACCTAATATAATGTTGGATCATTATCAGCAAATGTCAGCCACTTAGCCTTTTTGTTTAGCAGCACAGTGAGCTGATCATGGAAATGGTTGAAACGATTTCCTAAGACAAAACACTTCATCACCTTGAACTTCACAAACTCTTGATTTAAAAAATAAATTCTTTTGGACAAAAGAATGAGATTAATTGTCAAAGCATCCTAAAGTTAAACAATACAATATTATTCCACTCAACATGGGGTCGCTTATATAACTCTTTCCAGAGGTTTATAAGAACAAATGGTGATTATTGATAAATACAAAGCAAAAACGACTTTATCATTACTTTCTTTGCATAGAATACATTCTAAAGGTAGGATTCTGGGCCTTTTAAGATGAATTATTCATGATTACTCTGCTGAGCAACTGAGAACAAGCAATTAAGCTTCTTAACTCTGGGTAAATATACAAAATTGAGACAAAGTTTTGAGACCTACTGATCCTTTCAGTTCAAGCCGAAATATCAAGCCACAAATCATTGGAAATTACAATTATTCGTGAACCAAAATGGTAAATTTCTCTAGTTATACTCTAGTTTGAAAAAGTAAACTCATGCAGGTGAGAACTAAAAGCGCTCTGACTATCTGCTAAAGATTACTCAGTAGTTGTTGATGACAATTTCAAAATCACTTTGGGCATTTGAATTAAATAATGTTGAATCATAGCAGTTGTCTAAAAGAGAACTGTGACACTTCTTCCTGAAGGAAAGTGAAAGTAGAGAAACGTGACAACCAACCTACTTCCGTTCAAACTGAGAGCGAAGTTATCAAGGTTTATGCCCTTCTACCACAAATAAAGCTCCAACACTCCAATTTATTCCATTCTAAAGTCTATTTAAAGGAATTTCAAACCAAACTTAAACTTTGTTCTCTATCCACTTGGATGTTTATCACAAGTGCAAAACATGCTTGAATACCTTTCCGTATGTTAATTTCACTCCTCAGACAGACGAGACACTGTGGCGCGTTTTAGAACTATCGTATTTCGCGTCATTTCCCTAAGTCATCTAACGAAGAACCATCTGAAATGTTTAAAAACTGAATCTAGAAACATAAACAAATGGTAAATTTTGATGAACACTAGGGATTAGAATGGGCATCTAGTTAATTGTTGGTACCATTCAGGGAATTCCTTTTCAGAGATGTTGCTCGACTACAATCGTAACATGTTACAAACAATCAGACTTTGTAAACAAACACCTGAAACCTTGATCGATAGTGCTTAAATTTTCCAAAAATTCCAGAACTTTTGAAAGGATATCTATTGTATTGATAAAAATCGACGTTTGCGTATGTTAATTTGATGCTTTGTCTTCCAAAAACAAATTAGTTAAGAACAATTTTAGGAATTGAAACTCGTCAAAAGTAAGAAAAGATTTAACAGTTCGCTCAAGAGAGTCATCCTTGAGGTAACCCAAATTTGATTGTAAAACTGTAAATAGAGTTTGTCGCTTGGACTACGCAGAAAGAAACACCGATTGAGCGAACGCGTCACAGCGAAGAAACCTGCTGTCGCATCGTAGTTACATGCAAATTCACCAAGCATAAGCTACCAATCAACGACAGCCCTATTGGCACACCCACGAACGGCCCCCAAACAAAGGCGGCGAACTTTTTAGAACTTCAAAGTTGCGCGAGCGAATTACTTTTACCAAAATCCATCCATTTTCCAAAAAATATGCTTTTTAAATGGCTACTAACAAGTATAGAGGGCTATCATACGATTTTATCCCATCACATTTCAAAGAACCATATTTCCAAGGCCCAACCGTGAAAAAGACTGAACCATGTCGCGAAGAATGGAAGTTAATTTCCCGAGAGCATACTCCCATTAAGCCCAGAATTTCGTCAGCAGTTTATTTCTTACCAAAAGAAAAAAAAATTCTACCTAGAACTCTGGTTGAATTCGAGGTGTTTTACATATCAACACAGGCTCAAATGCATGTTCAAGACTCGTCTGACTAGCTAAGTAATTCGAGCAATTCTTACTTTGATATGCGATTTTGAATTTCAAATTTCAGTTGCATTGCTGAGTCAAACCACGCCGGAAATCGGACGGTGTTAAGAAAAAAAATAGATTGAACTGACTTTTTTTAATCCATGGAATTGCCTATCAGTTTACTGAATCCAATTTTAACAAGGCAAAGCTAATTCCTAAAGCAGGTTTCCTCAGTGAGAGCAATCTTCTCGTATTTCCTCCGAACGAGACCAGATGTAGAGAGATTAACCAGTTTACCCAACTCAAGAATCGTTTCAACTTAAATAATAAACACATGAGATAAAACTTACGGCAACCACTTTCATCTGAATTATCCCCACAATCATTTGCTCCATCACATTGCCAATCTAAAGGAACACAGCGCTGGTTGTTGCATCTGAACTTCGATGAACCGCACGTAAACCCTAGCAACGTTCGGGCAGGTACAAGGTTAGTAGTTATACGAGGAAGAATGTTGTGGACTTTCGCTCTAATTTTTGATCCAAAATCGAGGTCTAGGCAAGCACGATATTCTTACTCGTCATAAACTAAAATAACATCGAACTTTGAAGCGACTGGAACGGGGATTCAGTTCACTGTTGAAAAATCGGAGGGTGTGTACGGGGGAGCGGTAAACTCAAACCTTCCTTGTATCGTAAAATATTTATTGTCCAGTTCGTTGTACAAACGCCGTCACGACTGCAAAATTACACAAAAACCTTACTCTAATACTATAAATGAATCTTTCGAAGGTTAACGATAGCTTTCTCGAATAGATCTCACTAAAAGTTTGATGGAAGTTCCTGCCAAGAAGCGAAACAAAAGTAGTTGTAAGGTGTAACCGGCAAGCGGTTTATGAACGGTAGTCTTTCCCGTCGCTCGAAATTTGAAAGAGTTGGATAGTAAAAATCCGCCTAAAAGTCGTGGTACGTTTAGTCTTAATCGAAACTTACCTAAAACTGCTCTTTCCGTTGACAGAATAATCCAAAGGACTACCAGACAGCGCAGTGAAATCGCTTCCATTTTAGATAAATCTATTCTAGTCTTTCGTGTACAAGCGTGGCTCAGTCAATAAAGTTGATTTGCATACCTGGGCTGCCATTTGTCCACAGCTCGGGCAAGTATCACGCCACTTGACGTCATAGCGCGCCACTTCCAATCTTCACCGAGACAGGTGGGGGACGTGTGAATGTCGCGTGGTTGCGTGGACGGGTATAAACTCCTTGGCTTACAGCGGAGTTGTCCGGGTTTGTAGTTGAAATTGTGGTGTAATTTTTCTTGTCTTCGGGTTAATTTTACCATTAACAACCCTTAAAGGTTTATTGTTACAATAGCTTAGGAAAATACTTCTTTTTCAACAGACTATTAGCTTTCGAGTCCTTGCGAGGATAACACGAAACAGCATGCATTTTGGCGCTCCTTCAAAAGGGGCCATAAGGAGATTATGAAAATACTTCATCACGAACAGGAGCTGACTTTTTTAATTGCTCATACTGTTAAATCTATTCATATTCTATAGTTCTCCTTACTTTCTTTTCAATAAGAAGGACTCATGCAAAACCGTAAAAATACACGACAACGGAAGTGAAACAAGTCCACGAGGCAGTGTAGAGGGGTTCGCGCAAGGGAAAGTTTGAAGAGACTGGCCGGAAAAAGGAAATTCACTTTTGAATAAGCGGCACAACATGCGGAAGACTTAAAATAGTCTAAGTAACTTGTTATTTATGTTGGCTTGAAAACAAAACAAGCCTCGAGCGCCAGCTTGTGTCTTTAAAATTCATCCCTTGACTGCAAATTGAGTGTGAATCAGCAAATAAGCACCTAAACTGAGAGCTAGCTACATGTTTAGTAACTTGGACAAAGCCCCCGGCAAACTGAACTTCTTTATAACTTGTGTGACTTGAACGCTGTGTTAATGATTCTTCGCTTCAGAAATGTGTGGAATTTCAAATACTTAAACCTACTTTCAAACAATGTATTTAATTTCACCATACCATGAATTACTATGGTTTTAAGTGACACTGAAGAAGGATAATGTCTGCAGGAGTTATTTCGATAAAAATTTCTCCCTTTCTGTTTGCTTCCTTGAATTTGTACCTTTCATTTTTGTTGGAACAAACGTAATATTCCGATATTAAACTTTCTCACGATATGCCATGTTTTGTTAGGGCAAAACTGAGAATACTTCTCGACAGTTAAGCCTAACTATGTTAATCTTGTAAACAATCGGCAACGTAAACACAAACATCAAGTTCAGGGTTATCTTTATCGATGAAAGGGTCAGAAACAATTGCATCCCAGTTAAACTTTGTATCGAAGGTTTCTTAATTCCAAACGGAGCATCTTTCATAGCTATATTTATCGTAATACCAAAGTTAAGGGGTGGAAGTAAACGAGAAGGAACAGCGATCAAGTTCCAAAGTGTTTTGAAAAAATCTAAATTTTGTTTTGTCATCTGTTTTTCTGGAGATTTATTTTAAGAGTTCACCCGTCACTCTCGGGGACTTTTATCCTTGATCTGTAATTATGTAACGTGACAGTCATTTAAAGCTCAATTTATTGATAATTTATACATAACTTTTAAAACTTTTAGAACTTTAAAACATAGAACACAGCCTATGGCAAAAACAAATTGTTTAAAACGAAAGACCATCGAAGTGCTAGAAGTTGTCTTCACTTTCAATTTTTTTCTTAAAAGCGATTGCAATCCAGAACATTTTATCGCTATTATAATTATTGTTTTCGTCCTCACGATGATCTTAATATTTTTTATCAAGGTAGGTTACTATTTTTATATAATTTTGTTTATTACTGTTAATTTTTCAATTATTTCCATGTCAAGTAAAGTTAAATTATGGCATTTGGTTTTAATCTGGCTCATAAAATACATTAATGTGGCTAAAAGTTCAAAAAAAAAAAAAAGATGTTTTCCAATCAATTATTAGGGCGTTTTTGTGACCTGAATTTGTGTAATTGTTTGTTAGGATATTATGGGGAAATGACAGCCTAGCTAGGAACACTGAACTGAAATCACTTCCCACGCGCGGCTTGAAAGTGTGGGAAAGATAATTACAGAATGAAGCAAACAAAATAAATCTCCTCCTAAGATATTATTCTATTTCCACGTTTTATTTGCACTATTCCTTAAAATGCAGAAGCTATCCAACAGCTGTATCCACCTTGCAGGTTGTAATATATTCTGCGTGTCACGACTGTCTTCCAGTACGCGTATAACTCGCACAATCGCGCGAGAAATATCACCTGACATGACACCATGACCTGAGTAGGAGACCTGGGCACTAGCGTTTTTGTCAAATATCGTAACGCCTTTGTGGACGAAGCTATCTTCATTGAATTTATTTTTACGAATGACCATTGATTGGTTTTGTACTCCGCTTCTTCAACATAGATAAATTCATACGGATCTGACTTTTGCGCCAAGCTTACGTTAATTTCTTGTCCGCGATAAGCGATAAGAAAGCACGGCGACGGCAGTTAGGCGAGAATTTCTAGTACGCTCATCTTTTATCTCTTTCATTTACATTGATATTGAAATTGCTGGTGTTTTATAAACAGACTGGCAAAAAGACAATATTGTTTCGATCGTTTATTGATTCTAAGAATTCCATAAAGACACTTTGCCATGTCAAAATTTCAGTCTAAGTTTTCCGTGTGCGTGATTTGAATTTATAAGTGAGCGAAACCTTATCAAAGGGGTTACGAAATCCCCCATTAACTACAAAAGAAAGGGAAACACACAGGAAAGATACTACAAAAGCAAAATTTTAAAAATTCAATATTTTCCTGGCTCATATTTGAAGTGGGTTATTTCTGGCTATGCTCTTGTTAAAGTGGTAAAATATTCATGACAAATATCCATCGGATGATTTCCTCGTGAGGAACTCAGTGACGCAAGCGGAGCATTGAAGATATCTGCTTTTGTCGCATTTCATTTACGAATCTGTTTGACATATTAATTATTTAGAAATCACCGTAGTTACTGTGTTTTGCGACAGCATTCATCTTTGAAAACAAAATTAAGCCTTGGCAACTGAAATACTTTTATATTTAAGTCTCTATCAAATTTCGCGGTACAACTCTAAATCAGTAATGTATCAGTGCTTTTTTTTTTCGATCCCATTTTGAAGTGATTTTCCGATATTGGGTGCGAAATATCTCTTTTTTTTTTTAACGTTGAAAATATGCGGAGTTAACTGTTCCATTTAAGGCCTTGATGGTCAACAAGAATATCAACACTTGGTCGCTGCAAAAGACTCCCCAAAAATACATATGCTTACATAGCCATCCACGCGTACCCATTGATATATGGAGGTTACGTAACCAGACAGACAGAACACTGCTGCCTTCTGTAGTAAAACTGCACAAGCTGTATTGTGCACAGTGATTCAGTTTTAATATATTTGTTTCCTCTTTCTTTTCATAGAAAAGAGGGCATCACTTCCTTCATTCAGCCTGATTTACAGATACTAATGCAAGCTCCGCATTTTATCGATACCTTACCATATCCCTGGGAAACGTAAAAATTTACAAATGCAAATTTCGAAATCTTTTCGAAATATCCGCCGGAGCATCTTTCAATTTCAATGTTACGGAACATCTTACTGTGTTTACATCTAATACGCAAGAAAGTTTTCCATATGGTTGAAAATCCTATAACACCTGTTCATGACAGTGTGGTTTTTTCCAAGTCACATCATAATTAAAGTCCAATAAAGTTAAAACAGTTGGCACAGCATATAGAATCTTCAGTTGAGTTCTCCTTGAGCTTATCCGCCCGTCTGGTAAGTCTAATATACATGACCATGGGCTACCTCAAACCCTGGTTACTAAAAGGACAGCCCTACTAACCAGACAAAAAATTTTCTTTCTTCTTCCTTGATTACAAATATGAGATTTACACGCATTCTATGCAAATGGCAGTAAAATGCCGTACTTCTCTCATCTAGAGTAAATCATAAGGGTTCTTTTTCGCGTGGAGTTATTGATGTAGTAAACACGTTTAAACGTATTGATTGAACGACCTTTTCAAGGAGTCCATGACGCCAACTCACATCAAACTCAGTGACAAATATACAAGTAATTACTCTTGAGTCCGATTAACTCTCACACAAATATTACTTTGGCAATAAGCCTTCAAAATACGTGCATCTTTTGGGGAATTTCAGTACAGCCGATAAAAAAGGAAAAAAATAGATTTGCAATCACGATTCGATCGTCATATGACAGTCTGAAATCAAGACAACTCCCTTGCAGAAACCTTGACCCAAGTTCAACAATCTAGTGATGATGGCGTGTTTTGTGAGTAATCATGTCAGTTGAAACACGTCTTGAGAAACTTTGATCTATACCGTAATCGACTGACCACAGATTCTTGGCGAAGGTGTTTCCACCGTATTGGGGTTCACTTATTGCACTCGACACACGTGATCACAAACGTTCTGACTGAAATAGCGTCCTCAAAACTGCCTCCCATGATTCACCAGAATTATTGAGGGAGGACATGCTGAAAATTTTTTAAGTAGTCTTCACCGTCATAAACACAATTCTGAGCGACATAAATTCTATATTTTTTTTATATTACAATGGAGTAAAATTGTTTGAAAGGCAAAACAGAATGACCATCCATCGGTTGTGCAGTATGCTTCTTTCCCATCCCCTCCTGCCTCTGTTACGTTGACAGAAGACTTTCCGTCTGACAGATGTTCATTTATCATCACCCTCCAG